GGGTGTGGGTGTGGGTGCTGGTGTGGGTGTCGGTCTGGGTGTGGGTGTGGGTGTGGGGGTGGGGGTGGGTGTGGGTGTGAGAGTGGGTGTGGGTGTGGGTGTTGGTGTGGGTGTGGGGGTGGGGGGGTGTGGGTGTGGGTGTGGGTGTGGGTGTGGGTATGGGTGTGTTTATCGGCATTTTAAACATATTCATACTGTCACCCACATCCACACCCACACCCACACCCACAACCACCCACACCCACATCCTTGTCACCTTATCAATCGGTCTCTCACGAACTGAAAAGTTCATTTTTTCAAGCCAATAGTTTAATAATTATCTAATACGATGTGTTGAAAAAAAAACAAAACAGACTCAGGAATACAACGTTTGTTACACTTTGTTTTTTCGAAATGAACAAAAATCAGACTCAGTAATTTTCAATATTATGCAAAAGATTATTTTTTTTTTCAGTACGTAATGAGTTCCTTGTCTTATTTTATTAATTAATGAATCATTGTTTTTAACTCTATTCCATTACATATTGTTGCAATTGAAATATATGTTGACTGATTTAATTATAGTTATCAATGATTATCTTCGATAATAATCATTAACTGAAGCATTAAGAAAAAAAATGTATTGTGCAGCAAAAAATAATCGTGTTCATAGCATCACAGAATTTTTCACATTTTAGAAACAAAACATGTAATCACAAAATAAACTTTTTTACGCTGAATCTTATGGTATATTTTATATTATTGACATAGAATACTAGCTTATGAAGAAATGAATTGAAAACAAAGGAACTTTTTTTGTACTAGATAAAATATATCTTCAAAAAAAAAACATTTGCAAATAAACACTCATAAATTATCTGAAAGTCGATGTTCAATCGATCATCGAACAGTACGTAATAACAAGTGAAGACATATACATGGAGAAAAAAAAAATTTTTCTCCTCAAAACATCGAACGAAAAAAAATATATTAGCATAATAAGATTCATCATCAACTGAAAATAGATAATTATATGTTATAAATAGAACTATCACTTTGTATTACTTTCGTTATTAGATATTTTAAAATAGCTTCAAAAAAGCCTGTATAGTCATTATATGGCGATGGCACAGTTATTCTTATTTATGATAATTATAAGATACTATCACATGAGTATACATTCTTTTAATGTTATGGATGAATGCATCCATTACATGTTAGCATATACATTTTTGAGTATAATAATAGTCAAGTGTGATGTACATGCGCCAGTGAGCAGCTTTTCTTTATACATTGTAACAACCGAACATAACGAATAAGTTATTTTTCTCGATTGATTTGACCGCAATGCCCTTTTCTCTCTGTTATCTATCCATACTTCTATATCTCTCTCTCTCTTTCTGTATATGTACGTTGTAGTGGCATTCTTATATTATCTCCCCCTCGTGTATAGTCCTACCCATAAAAGGAATAGTCGCAAGGTCTTCTCCATTGGTTATGTTTATCTCCTTCTTCTCTTACATTTACTTTGAAATTATACTTTCGATGTGTCCATCTCTCGTACATAGTATTAGCCGTAATCGCAACCTAATATTTGCTCTTCTCTGACTTTCTCTTTAAACAAGTATTTTTCTCTAATTGTGCTTAGTGTATTCTTCTAGACTTTTCTATGCTAAGAAATAGCATATAAGAAATGAAAAAAATACACTGTAGTTGCGATTCTGATTATACTAATAAAGTATTAGGATAATAGCCCTTAAACAGTGTCTGTTAT